CAAGTTATTTTATTTTTATAAAAGAATATCCAAAACGTTCTAGTCAAAATAGAATTTTTTGAATCTTTGTACAGTTAACAGCTTCATTCATATGAATAACAAGATTGTTTCATGAACTAGATCTTTTTGACTTCTACTCGACGAGATGAAAATACATTATAATTAAAAATTTTCAAGAAATCGAGCAATTGTAACAATCACTTTATGTGCATGTTGTATATATGTCACTATGTTTTATATACCAATTGCCGTCTATAAATGATTTCTTAACATCAGAATGGAAAAAAAATGATCAATCACTAAATTTTTTTGTTTTTTGCATGCAAACGAGTACTCATATTTCATCATGTTTATTCATCTGTTTTAGCCTATGAAAGCGATTCAACAACGACAACTAGTGAGTATGTTTCTCGTTCATCATTCAATAACGCAATTTTCATTACGAATATCTTTTCCAATGTTATATCAGTTTCAATTTTGACAGCTACGAAAAATCGGAACGATGTTTGATCTTGTCCTTAAGTATTTTTTAAACGAACACACACACAAGATTGTCGTCGTTACATTCTGATGTCGTTATGAGAGAATAAAAACAGATACTAAATACAATCTTTGTGGCCACTTATGGCATTTTAATGAATAGACGAAGTTAGATTTGCATTATAAAACCGTATATTCATTGCTCTTGTCACTAACAAATTTTAGATAATTATTTTTTATCATGATTTGTTTAATCTCAGGTAAAGTCAACACTTGCTATGTTGTTCTCTTGAAGATAAACTTAAAGACACGAATGAATTTTTCAGATCACTCTTACATAGAAGTTTCACCTATTGATCAGATATAATTCACCAACAACATGCTTCTTTATTCTTCTTTAGCTCAGACTCAAGCGAATCTAATGAATACAATAGCAACAACTAAGCAAGCATATTATTGTGCAGGTATATCATCCTGTACACACTGGTAACTATATTCTATTATCGGAATGACGATGAACATTGATACGACGAATTGTAGTTTTAATTCAACTCCATACTATTTCACTAGTCTGGCTGGTTCTAGCTCTCATTGGCTGTTAGACGGTTATACTGCTATTTATTTTCCAACAAATATTTCATTTACAATTTATGTTCGTCCATGGTTTACTTTGAATAATATACTCCTGCGTAATTATTCTCAAGTAAATACATGGAATATAAATTGGTTTGATTTTTCTTATTAAAAGTGATTGCGTATACTATTTTATTGCATCTAATATAGTTGCGAAGTTTAATAAAATTGTACGTTTAAAATCAACGCTAAAAACTTTGTTTTTTTTTATTATCTATGGTGCAAAAATACTTCTCGGGTGTGGGTGTGGGTGTGGGTGTGAATGTTGTACTCCTCTTCAACCCACACCCACACCCTCTTCTTGATCTAGAGAGTTCTCAAGATGTGTTCATAGCGCATGACTTTCTTGCTCAAGACAAGCGCTTGAATGTTTGCATGAGTTACAAGAAACTCATGCGCTCAACTCAAGAAAATGCAACTATGAATTTTTATTAAATTATTGGGTTATTTTGAACGTAAAATTAAAAAAAACTAAAAAGTTCTTTAATAATAGGAACCCTTGGATAAGAATTCAATCTCATGAGCAAGAATATCAAGCGATAGAACAAGAAATTCAAGAACTTCAGCATACTGAAAGGTCTCAAGTCTTGCCTCAAGATGTGTCCATAGTGCATAGCATTCTTGCTCAAGAAGTTCGACTAGGATCTCATGTGACGTCATATACACCTTTTTCTGTGTACTTATGTTTTTTTTTATCAGGTCTATGTTATTCATTCTGTGATTCAAATCATACCTGTAGGTTCATAATTAGTTATTGGATGAAATCTATAATTCTTTGATTTTGTTGATGGTAAATTTGTATGATAATTTTCATCCGATGATAATTGAATAATATCTATTGAAGTTCGTAATTTCTATTGAAAAGAAAAAAGAAATGTTCTGTGTTATTTTAAATTTCTCACCTTACAATTTCAAGTTGTTTTGTAACAAGTTCCCAATCGACATTATCATTTTCTGTATTATTGTTATTATTATATGATGATGATGATGATGAACTATAAGTATCTGAATCAAATGATAAATGATGAATAGTATGTGATTTATTAATTGTGTGAATTCGTCTAAATGATTATGATTTGGATCATTTCTAAAAAACAAATGTAAAATCAAGGAAAAAAAGAATTGTATAGAAGTTAAGAAAAAGAATATATAAATGAAAGGATTAATTACTAATGATCTGTATTTAATCACAACAATCATTATTTGTAACTTTGAAAAAGAGAAGATATTTCTTCTTTTTTATTTTTGTGTGTATGCATGCCTGCAGCGTTATATGTAAGTCTTCATTTTGTGTAAATAAAAAAAATAAAAATTCTAATGATTTGTCAAGATATTGTTAACTTATTTCAAATCATCAGTTGAAATAAAACAATAAGACAATGAAAAGAAAAGGAAAATTTTTTGGTCTTTTTCTTTTTAGTCTGTGAACATATACCTCCGAAAAGCAAAAGTTAGCCACCTTGTTTTGAGTATATCGTTACTATAATAGCATATTTTTAAAATAATAATACCGTATTCGGACAGCGCGTAAAATTCTCTATTACTCCTGTATACTTGTATTTTGGTTTTCACTTTTGAATGATCAACATAAATTGAATATA